TTTTTATTAAAAAAATTAAACTTTTTAATAAAAACACAGGCAAATTTGCCTGTGTTACAATTTAAGGGATAAGTAATGTTTTTATGCATTTAATAGAATTAAAAACATTATTTATAAAATTTCATTTGGAATCACTCCTAGAAGCATATGTTGTATAATTCTTATCCAAATGCACATGTAATTTGTTGTTCATATGAATTTAATCAAATGCATATGCAATCTATCATTATGTGAATCTGATCTGATCTGATCTATGTAAGCCCAAGGCTTTCTCGTCAATAAAAAGATAATATCGAATTCAGAATCAAAACTTCTATATATAACGTGGAACAAAGCTTTCGCATAAACTTTGTTTGGCTAAATTGCTCAGCTAAATATAATATCTAACCTGTAATAATTTAATTCAAAAAATTTTAATTAGTTCATTATTTATCATGCAATCTCAACTATCTTCTGGCTTTGTTCTTCCTGACATGAAAACTTACAATCATTGTTGGACTGGGTATTGGCGCTTCTTAGAAAAAATTTCAGAAAATAGATATACTGCCAAATGTGTTTACTGTAAATATAAGCTACCTGGAAGACCTGAAAAGCTTTATAATCATGTCCTTAATTGCGGTAGCTGGCCTATTACTGAAAAAGAGCAATTATATTAAAAAAGTTTTTAGCATTCTTCCTAAATCTCATAAAAAAGCATTAATTAGTTCGGATCAAGAACAGTCTGAGTATATTATTATAAATGATTTTAATTATTAAATACTTAACTAACTAAAGCTTATATAGTGCTAGTGCTAGTGATACCACAGATAGACCTTTATCTTCGCTAAAATGGCAAGAAAATTTGATGAATTGGTTTGCCAAGCCAATTACACAAGATCAACAATCCAAACTTGACAAAAAATTACTTGAAGTCATTGTTACAGAGTAAAGCCTTCTTAATTTACTCTATAATAACAACACGGTACAGGGAATTCTTTCGTAGGTATATGTGGTGTCCAAGAGGTAAGTATAGCTTCTTTTCTCTTTAAGAGACTATACCCTTCTCTAAGGCAGTTCGTGGAGAAATACAATAACAATAATAACTTATTAATACAAGAGAGAGATAAACCTTGCCTGTAGGAATTACCCTAGAGGGGGAATATCTAAACAGTTTATAGTCAAAGAGTCG